CATATGGAAAGCTGACTTCTTTATGCAAATATAGCTAAACAGTAACTATAGAAATGCTGCCATGTACCAAGGTCCTAGGTGTTCAGCAGCATAAAAAGAAATATAAGAGCAAGTCTAAATAAGTCACATTTCTTATCTAGAGCCGACAGTGAATCAGCACTAGCAGGGCAATGATCAGAAAGACAACACTGGGTGCTGGTGGGGATTTGGAGAAACTAGAACCATCGTGTACTGCTGGTGGGAATAAAACATGGTAAAGCCACATTGGCAAGCATTTTGGTGAAGTCTTCAATCATTAAAAATAAATCTGCCATGTAATCTAGCAATTCCACTCCTACAATCAACCAGGAGTAATGAATGAAACCATAGGTGTACACAAAGGCTTTCATGTGAAGTTGTTCTAAAACTGCATTGTGGTAATAATTGAAGAACTTTTTAGATTTACCAGTACCATTTAATCATATATTTATTATGAAATGTAAATTTTACATCTACAGACAGTTTTTTTTTTAGATAAGGCATATAGCATAATTAAGCAATCAAGAGTTCTTTTTTCTGCAAAAAAAAAAAATGCATGTCACTATAGTCACTGTGGCCCACGACCCTTGGAGGTCCTTGAGGTAATTTTTCTAACAATACTAAGAAGCTGTTTGCCTTTTCACCATGTTGAGATTTACACTGACTTTGTAAAAGCAGCAGTAGGTAAAACTGCTGGTGCCTTAGAACAAATCCAAATAACCTTAATGGTTACTGTGTCACCGTTCATTGTGTACTGACATGCATTAAAGTACATTCCTTTGCCACTTCCCAGTGGAAACAGAAAAAAACTGGCCTAATTAGATTATGTGTGGGCCTGTCTTTTATTTACTTATTTATTTTATAGATGTTAAATTCTTGTTGATCTAGGCCATTGATTTTTTGTTTTTTTTTTTAAATATTTTTTATTTATTTATGCATACAGAACTAAGGTATAGGCCAGAGGTGCAGAGGTGGTGAGAGGATTCACCAGAGACAGACTAGGGAGCAGAACAGGCAGGTCTATGAAGTACACTGCTGAGGGGAGCAGCGGGTGAAACAGAAGAGGTCTGTGCCATATGATCACATGGAGCATGGGGGTGAGGGGGAGCAAGCTCACACTGAAGTGGCTGAGGCCAGCTTCGCAGTGCTGCGCTCCAACCCACTGCACCACCAGGGAGGGTCCTGGGTCTGTCTTTTTAACAATCTATGTGATGACTTCTACAGATGCCAAATGAGAAGACAGTTCTCTCAAGAACCAGCACATCTGTAGCAGATGTCTGCACACTGGACTAGCAGTGGTAGTTTACGGAATAATATTTCTAGAAAAAAAAAGTGACAGATAAGTTAGGGATCATTAGACTTGTTATCCAAGAAAGCAATTGACTCTGTTTGTTCCTAGTGATAAAATACCAACTGGAAGCCAAAATTTGGATTTTGAAAACTTGTATCCATGACCATGAACTTGACAGTTTCCGTCAAGATTTCTCCAGTGAAGCACAATGGACTGTGGTAGTGGACACCAGGTGCTTCACTGGTGGGAGAGCGACATGGCTCCACCCAAGCAAGGAATCCTAAGCTGTCAAAGCACTAACCAGGATGTAACACAGTGGTACCTTTACAACAATTAAAAATATTAAAAATCAGGCCCTCCCTGGTGGCACAGCGGGTTAAACCGCAGCACTGAGAATCTAAAGCCGCTTCCGCATGAGTTCGATTCCCGCCTGCCCCCGCCTGCCCCGGAGGTGACCACATGGCTGGCAGACCTCTCCTGACCCGCCTGCTGCTCCCCTCAGCAGTGTACTTCATCGATCTGCCTGTTCTGTTCCCCACTCTGTCTCTGATGAAGCCTCTCACCGCCCCTGAGCCTCTGGCCTGTACCCCAGTTCTGTATGCACAAATAAATAAATCTTTTAAAAAAATATTAAAAATCAAAAAGATGTTTATGATGGGATTGATGGTGATTTTAACACATAGAATTTTTTTCACTTTGAATAATAAAATGTACCAACGTTTGGAGAATATAGGTAAAGCGGTCTTGACACTAGAAAATGTAAGAATTGCTAACCATCAGGCCCTCACTAGTGGCTCAATGGGTTAGGACACAGCACTGCAAGTGAACCGCAGCCACTTCAGTGCCAACTTCGATCCCCTGCCCCAGAGATGACCCACATAGCATGGCAGACCTCTTCTGACCCACCTGCTGCTCCCCTCAGCAGCGTACTTTGTATTTCTTCCCGTTCTGCTCCCTTCAGTCTCTGGTGAAGCCTCTCACTGCCTCTGCACCTCCAGCTCGTACCCCAGTTCTATATGCATAAATAAATAAATCTTTTTTTAAAAAAAATTGAAAAGCTGCTAACTAAGTGGCTAATAGCTTAGACTCTGGGGCCATTTTGCTTGGGTTCAAATTAACTCATTTATTACTTGTTCCCTGAGTGTTTCATCCCTCTAAGCCTCAGCTTCCTCATCAAGTGAGGATAATAATGGCACTTGTGTTAGAGAGATGCTGTGGACATAAAAATGAGGCAATATATGTAAATATTTGAAAATATTAAAATGAGTTCATCCATGTAAATCTGTGCTGACTTCTAGTAAATGCTTAGTAAATGGTTGTTAATGGCTAATGGTAATCTGTAAAAACACAGGCATGAAAATACGGTACACAGTAATCTTTATGCAATGACAGGTCCTTCCTGTTGTCCTCGCTTTGCCTCTGGGCCTCTCTCTTATTAGAAGTGCACACGTGTTCATGATATCCAGGGGGTGACATGTCCTTTCTCATGGACACAGCTGCCCTGACCATCCATATTGATTAGGGTGGGGGTTCTTTCTTACAAGTGCACTGTTTTAAGGAAGATATGTGAGGTAATGTACTTATGAAGGGTAAAGTTTAATACATTTAATATAAACAGGTCATTGAATATCATTTGTATTCTTAGAATTAGAAGTCTCTTTCATACCTCAGCAGTATTTAAAATAATGGTGTATCATTTGAGTTCAAAGAGTGGGAAATTACGTAAATAGATGAAGAGTTTAAGTTTCTTTCCTTTCTAGTATGTCACTGTTTAGTTAAAGCAGACTTAAACTTTAAGGGGAAAAATGACTAACTTGGGAAGGAGGAACCTACATCTTCACTCTTGTGGGGAGACTACCTTTAAGCTGTTTTTGTCTCTGTTGAAAAGAAGTCCCTCGCTGGCTGACCTCATTCATTCATTCTACCACTTTGATGGCACCTCTGTGACAGGTCAGGCTCCTAGCCGGCACTGGTGCCTGTGGTACAGAGATAGCTGGGCTCTGCCTTGCTGGAATTACTGTCACCTGTCAATGGTATTTCAGTCACTTAATGGTATTTCAGGCAGATGGACCACACTCATCCCAGAAGGTTCTGCCAGCAAGCCTAGGAGTGCAATGGGCTGTACCATCTAGATTTATGCAACTATTCTCACACAACAACAATATCACCTAACAGCACATCTTTGAGAGCACAGCCTCCTCCTCAAGCCATCGTGACTTTGGTGCAGCTTCCTAATTTCTCCACCGCTTTGTGAAAGCTAAGATTATCCCCCTATTGTTTCTGAACTATCCAGCAGAAAGAATAACATGTATTTTATGCTTTTTAGATGCTCGTGAAAACATTGTTAGTGTAAGGTAAAGGAAAGTAAGACTGCAAAATAATTAAATTACTCTTCCCCTAGACTATCATAGCCAATGTGACCCTGCTCATATTCGTGGTAAAGCCAGCCAGAGCATAACAGTTAGTGGACTTTCATTGACTTACATGGCTTCCACTGTCCGAAGAAAATATGCACTAAACAGAGTTTACTTGGAGATCTGCTGTTTTCTGTGTCGTTACACATCACTGTGTGTAATGAGAATGGCAGGTCAGCCCAGAGGAGAGTTTATTCGTTGCTTCACCTCAGGTCCTCTGAATATATAGTCACTTGTCAATCAGATTTAGAATAGTCTTTCCTTTCACTTTAAGGGTTTGTTCCCTGAACAAATTACAAAACACCTTGAATATGTTTTAAAGATACTTGTACAGATAGAGAGTAGAAGTATTACTGAGCTCATGTGAGTATTGACAAGCATCAGTATTTTTAGATTTGAGGATACTTCTTCCCACTGTGTTTGGGATACTGAGAATAAGAATCAGCTTATTCAGCTTAAATAGTCAAAGAAGTTCTCCTTGAATACACAATTAATTCCATATTAATAGTGAGTTGAAAATTATTTGTTATTGCTAGCCATGTTCTTCTCCCTGTTACTCCAAGACCCTGTGCAAACTTCATCTCTCAGTAGCTGCGGTGTCTTTCACAGAACAAATACGCTGAAGTCACTTAACCTGGGCAAGTATACAGAGGCTGTGACTGAACCACTGGTGCTCTTTGGACTCTAGACCCCTCTGTTGTTTGATTTTCTTGCTCATTTCAGCAACTCCATCCCCCCCCCCCAAAAAAAAACTTTACTTGCACACAACTGGCCAAATAGTGTCAGCACAGTTATAAAGCTCGTTTCTCTTTTCATGACCATGTTCCCTGTTAAAATGCCTGGCAGGTTCTGCCTGTCCCATGTAACAGCTTTGCAAGAACTTTTGTCCTTGAGAAGAAGTAACCAACTGTGGAGTATCTCAAACAGATCCAACATTTTTGTAATGAAAAGTCACACTATTCTTTTTTCCTCCCATATTCCTTTATTGAATTAAAATTAGAGAAGAGTGAAGAAATAGTACATGTTGACCCCTGAAGCAGTCAACATTTGGTTAGTGAAAAGCATGAGCTACCCAAGGTCATATCTCCTATAAATCATAAGGCTAAGGCCTTTCTTTTTTTCAATGTCAGCTTACTATTTTAATGTCACACATAGTGGTTTTCAAAACACTTCCTCTGCATCTGCTCACATTAACATTAATATCAAAAATACTGTTCATGATATAATGTAATTCCTCGTCTGATCTTGTCTTTTACATGTGTGTTTATGTGTTGCAGGAAAAAAGTGCCAGTTCAAATGTAAGACTTAAAACTAATAAAGAGATTCCCGGATTAGTCCATCAACCCAGAGCAAAGTAAGTCCTAGTTCCCATTTTCCTTATACTGCTTTTAAAAATAAAACTGTTTTCAGAGTGAGTTTCATTTTGCATACCATGTCATTAAAACATAAAACTGTAGAAGATGGGACAAGGTGGTATGATCTAATGAAACAGAAGAGAGACCCGGAAACAGACCCACAATGTATGATAGGGCAGACATTTCAGGTCAGTTAGAAGATGGTGAAAAAAAGGAATAACTTTATGATGGGGGACAGAAGAATTTTGAATTAGTCACTAGGGATGCAGACCTTAATTCATATGACTGCATTAAGAACTTCTGTGTGAAAGTGAAAATCTACAAAAATGATGGAATATGCTTGCAACACATATCATTGAGTTGCTGAGTTTCCGAATATATTAAGTACTCCTACAGATCAATCAGTAAAAGACAGAGCACTCATTCAGAAAGAAACTAAAGAAATGAACAATCATTTGACTACTGAGGAGGAAGCATGGCTAGCAAAGATATGAAAAAAAGTCATTCCAGACCAGAAAACTCGAGAAAATTTAGAAAAAAAGACAAAAGGTTGACCAGCATGTGGAACCATAACCACCCTTAAACCCTGCTAGTGGGAATATAAACATCAATCAAATCATAAGTAAGAGCTACAATACCTGTGGTTATTACCATGAAGCTGATACAGACATCTTCTGGCACATCAGCACATCAGCCTGGCCCACTGACCAAGGACCTGGCTTCCAGTTTAGGGATTTAGGGTGCCTGGGTGTGAATGTGCCCAGTGATTTAATTTTTTGCTTTTAAAGAAAACCGGACATTTTAAAATCACTTACCGTGTCAGGATAATGTTACAGCTGATTCTTGCCCCTTAGTTGTTAGGCTTCTACCACAACCTCTGGAGTTCACTTCACTGCTAATCACTGTTATCTGCCTTAAGGGACAGCTTTCTGATGGCACAACCATCTTTTCATCTAAACCCTTTGATCTGTGCTGTTATCAAGTGCTTCTCTTATCTCTGAGTTTTTAGGAGAAACTGTTGTAAAGGAGAAATTCCTTTTTTTCCTGTAAGACTGAATATTCACTTCATTCTAACACACTGAACAAGAACTCTTGCAGATCACAGATGCTGGAGCTTTCAGAGCAAGTGGCTAAGTTAGCTCATGTGTTTTCATTAAAATTATAAAGAAAATCCCATCTACTACCCAGTTGCATGCTCGTGTGTGTGTGTGTGTGTGTGTGTGTGTGTGTGTGTGTGTGTGTGTGTGTGTGTTTTAAAGGACGAGTCAGAATAATGGAGGTGTGACTCTCAACCAAGAACTCTTTCTGGAGAGCCAGGAATTTTCATTTCTTGCTAACATACAAGATTAAAGGACCTTTAATTTTTGTGAAGCTATATAAGATAATGAGTTTTCCTCCCACAAGTGAAAGGAAAGTACAATGCCATAAAGGCAGCAATCCTCTTATCATTACCGGATGCAACAGGTAAAGCAATGTGTACTGATTAGTGATCTCAGGCTAATGACCTCCATCTTTGTGCATCAGTTTTCTCAAAGAAAAATGGAGGTGAAGGGCCCTTCCTGGTGGCACCACAGGTCAAAGCACAGCACTAGCACTGTGAAGCTATCTGCAGCCCACTATAGCACGAGATCAATCCCCTGCCAGGGAGCTGACCCACATGGCACAGACCTCTCCTGTCTCACTCACTGCTCCCCTCAGCAGTGTATTTCAGTCCATCTGCCTGTTCTGCTCCCCACTCTGCCTCTAATGAATCCACTCACCCCCTGAACCTCTAGCCAGCACTCCAGTTCTTGAATGCATAAATAATAAATATTAAAAAAGAGAAAAATGGAGGTGAAAAATCCTGCCTTTATAAAACGAGCAGTTAAATAAAATAGCATGTGCCGAGTGCCACCCACTGTGTCTGGCACTTGGTAAGAATGCCTTATGATTAGAAACAAGGGAAATGTCCTCTTCGGGAAATGGAGTAGGTGACCTGCACTCCAGGCACGCAGTGGCTACCAGCAGTCAGGTCGAATGCAGGCCCATGTGCACACATGGGGCCTCTCACGATGTAATGCCAGAGGAAGAAGCAGGTCTTGAAAGGTTATCAAGTATCATCTGCTCTTTTTAAATTAAAAACAACTAAAGTAATCTGCTTTTTAAGTGCAAACAGAAATGCAGTGAAGCTCCAAAATGGAAAGAGAGGCCTGATGGTTCTGTCTTGGCCAGAGTAAACACATTGCTTGGGGAGGAGGTGAGTTGGCTCCAGACTGATGTCAAGGTCCCAAATTTTGGTGTTGATTTTGGTTTCATGGGTGCTTTAATAAGGTCCCATTAATCATTATTTTTAAAGGACAAAATAATGACTAGTTAAATTGCAGTGAGCCACACACTACTATTAGTAAGGGTGTGTCACAAAGAGAGGATGAGGGTCCATTCACTTCCCTGAAGTTCTGTTGCACAATAATAATGATCATTATAAGCAAATGTCTGTGTTCAAGGCCTCCCTAGTGGCGCAAAGGTTAAAGTCTCAGCACTGTCAAGCTACCACCAGCCACTGCAGCAGGACTTCCACCCCCAGCCAGGGAGCTGACCCACACGGTGCAGCAGACCTCTCCTGTCTTGCCCGCTGCTCCCCTCAGCAATTTATTTCAGTAGATCTGCCTGTTCTGCTCCCCACTATGTCTGGTGAATCTCCTCACCACCACCTCTAGCCTAAACCCCAGTTCTTGTATGCATAAATAAATAAAAATAAATCATTTAAATAATATATCTGGGTTTAGGCCAACATTTGCCAGGAACTCATCTGATAACTGAATTCCATCTTGGCAGGTGACATGTTAGGGGATTAGGACCTTGTCTTCCCATACTTTTGTGGCTTAGGTTTTTATTATTTGGAAACTTTTAAAGTCACTGAAAATGAAGGCAGCTTCATTTTCATCTAGAAAGCCCATGTTGCCCATTTTACCTTTGATTACTTTCATTTAGATACCACAGTGTTGTCATCTCTGGGCCCATGAGGTTGAGGCTTCACAGAAAGAAAAGCTTTTGGTGGCTCAGGTTAACCTCGGAGCTTGGGAAGTGCTCAGGGACCCTGGTGCCCTCCCAGGTTGAGTCATGGAGTGAGATTGTTAAACATAATCAGTTAAATCTTGTACTGCCATACAGACTCTTATTAAAGATCCTTAGCATCAAACATTCTTCCTTTATAAATGAAAGCATCTAATACCTGAGAAACCAGAGAGGGATTGACATCCTCTCGGACAAGAAAAGGCGCTCCAAAAAGGACAACCTGGTGATGAAGACCTTTGGCTTAGTGGGGGGGTGGTTTAGTGGGGGGTGTCCCAGACTGGCTCCAGGGCCCCAGTATCGAAAAGGAAGGGCTGTTTCAGAACGGGGAAGTGGCACCTCCTTGCTGAGTGAAGGTTAAATAATGTCTCCAGAAGACCCTCTCTTTTAAAGAGCATAAAAGTTAGACAGGTTTGCATCCAGAGTAGCTCAAATAAAAATGTGTCCCTACGATGTTGAAGCTATGAAGAAACTGGGAGAATTCAGCCACACTGAACAACTTTGCTGTCCAGACAGAAACATAGAGGAGACCGTTTAATGTATTCTCATCCTCACAATTCTGCTCTGCCTTGCTAACCTGCCTCAAGGCCTGTTTCTGAAACGGGACATGAACCTAATTTCGATGATCATGTCAAGGTTAGAAATACCTGTGTAAGTGCTTTCTAACTGCAAGCACTGGTTGCTGGCGTCAGGTATTTTCATGGCTTCCTTTTTATATCCGAGCTGATGTCATTGTGCTCCTAGATTATAGGTCTTGGTTTTACACACAGGGAAACTTCCTCTGAGCCCCTTTATCTATCGCAGGCAGCCTGAAGGGTGTGGGATCCTTTGTGCCAGTCTGTAATCCCTGAAAGGCTGTGGTGCTGAGGGGGATGTTACTCAGGCATTCACCACCCCAGACTTGAAGGAAACAAGTTGCTCCAGACTCACCACACTGACAGCAACTGGAAGGAACACTGAAGACTGGGGCTCTTACCCCAGCATCCGGGACCTCCTGGGGCCTCCCAGGAGCCCCACAACCACTGGCCAAGAAGAAACTACAGTCATGAGCTATTACCACTGAGGCCCCTTCCTCCCTGTACCCTGCCTGTCTGAGACTCTTGTCATTTAGCCCCCCCACTTCCCCCCCCCCCCCCCCGGTCCCCAACACACCCACAACTGCGTCCGTCCCACTGTGCTTGCTGTCAAAGATGTGGGACAAGATGGGGCAAGTGTCCTCACCAATGGGATGTCCACAGCCTTTATAGAATACACCTTTCCATATAATAAACAGGATACACTTTCTCTTTATGGTTACACACAGGGCAGAAGTAAGCCGCATGTGACTTGCCTACTCTTATTTTGAAATCACAAATGTGTACCTGAAAAAGTAACAGTAACTTCACTGTAAGTAACTTACATGCTGCAAGAAAAATGTATCCCTCACACCACAGACTCTGGAAGACCATTACAAATGAGAGAAAGACATTTGGTTCCTAACATAACCCCAAATTATTTCTGTGGAAATGCCTTCCATGACCAGCCTGCCCCAAAGTTCAGGGACTGGGCATTTTCCATTTGAGGGAGCCACTCTTTAAAGAGCATCGAGATATTCCCTTAACTACTCTTTCTTTTCCAGCATGCACATCTCTGAAAGCCAACAAGAATTCTTCAGGATGCTGGATGAAAAAATTGAAAAGGTAAGAAGCAAAATAAGTTCACATCTTTCAAGGGAAATGGGTTCGTTGTCTCAGATGTTAGGGGAACAAAATCCAGTTTCTGTTACAAAGCTGTTCTTAAAAAGGGGAGGAATAGAGAATTAGAATGAAAATCTCTCTCCCTGAAAAAAAAAAAGAAGAATGTGGCCAGGAAAAATGTTGAGTGAGGAGTCCTGAGAGTGTGAAGTCAAATGAGACCACGCCTTCCTCTCTATGGTGCTGTCTGCAGTGATCCTGCGCTGACCTCACATGGCAGGGAAGAAGGCCCTGGGCACTGGGCAGAACCCACCCAGGCCACTCCATGCCCGGCACCACTCTGAGTGCCGCGTACACCTCCACATGGGCTGCGGTCAGCGCTTCATAGAGCAGTGAATGGGGGGCAGGTCTTCTTTGCATGTCACCGGGAAAGAAGCTGCGCCTGGGGTGCTTGAGAAGCCTGTCTGGCTTTGCAAGGTCCAGTGGGAAGTGTAGCCCACCCCAGTCTGACTCCCAGAGGGTGTCCAGATGGCCTTTGAGGGAGTGCATGGATTGCAGGGGTACGGTGGAATGCAAGATTGATCTGTGTGGAAATTGCGCCCAAGTTTTGATCTTGCAGGGCTGTGTTCTGATGAACTGAACAAAGTCTAGAGTACAGTAACAGTTGTAGAATTTAAATTGACCCCTGAAAGGGGTCAATTTTAAATTTAAAAGTTACACATCTGAGGTTGTAGTTTGAAAATGTTATTATGAAGAATAGTAAAATCTGTAATTCAGAGCACAACACAACTATGTTAAGGTGTCACCTTGGAAAGCACTGTGCATTAATTTTTATTTCTCTTTTACTTTTTGTGACTCTTTTATCTGAGCATATCATCATGAATTCCTAAGTTAGGATAGATCTGTATCACTCAATGAAAAATACAAAGGTGTTCAAATTCATCTGTATTTCAGCAGCAAATCCCTCTCTGACATAGACGTTCCTAAAAGGACAATTGCATCAAAAAGAACAATTGCATCATCTTCGGATGCTATTAAAAGACCAGCAAAAATTGCAAGTGTGAGATACAAGATGGATAATGATTTTAAAAAGTAATTTAATCTGTATTGTTCCTTTACTATACATTCTCATTTAAGAGAGTAATTTTATTTTCAGTAAAATTAATTCAATAAATTCAGTAAAATTTTGGCTTATACATAATTTTTTAGATTGAAATTTTCATTTAAGAGTGATTATACCATGTATCACATATTGATTCAAAAGGTGTTCGACTTGCTGATAGCAGTTTGTTTTGATAAAGAAAAGTATAAAAAGTAATATTTTGCTCCCACTATAATGGTGAAGATTTTTCCCTATTTGCATTATTTTTCCTCTGGTAATTTTTTGGCAATAAAACAATCTGCTCAAAAGTAGAGGTAGCCTGGAAAAATTGAAACCTGAATTTCAGTTTTTTTAATAACATGTATAAATTTCCAATAAAGCATTGAAAATTATCTTATTCCTTCCCAGTGTGTCTCCATAATTGAAACTTTGTTTTACTAGAAATTCATTGTTCCCATTTGAAAGCTGATTTCCCTTTTTGCTTTTGTTTTTGCTTCTTGGTTACCTTTTAAACATCCTTGTTTATTTTTTCACAGTACAGGATTTCTCCCAGCAGGTGTGGTCACCACGGTTTTCCCAATTACCAAACCGCCCACACCCCTCCCCCACCCTCTCCCCTCCTAAGTATCTCTGAGCTACTCTTTACTTTCAGGGGTCAGTCTTTCAGTTTGTCTTTCTCTTATCCTTTGTTTGGTTTCTCTAGATGCCACATGTAAGTGAAACCATCCAGTATTTATCTCTCTCCTGTCTACTCTGCTTAGAAAAATCCCTCCCAGTTTCATCCATGTTGCTGCTGATGGCAGGAATTTATCTGTTTAAATAGCTGAGTAGTATTTCATTGTGGGTATATATATCACAACTTCCTTCTCTTCTGGGCACTTCGATTTGTTTCCATTTCTTGACTATTGTAAATAGTGCTGCTGTAAACATAGGAGTGTGGGTTTCCTCTCAAATTAGTTTGAGTGCTCTTTGGGTAGATTCCTAGGAGTCATGGAATCACTGGATTATATGGTAAATCCACCTTTTTAGTCTTTTGAGGAATCCCCACACTTCTTTCCATAGGGGCTGGACCAGTTTGTATTCCCACCTGCAGTGTAAACGTTTCCTTTTACCTCCACACCTTGTTAGCACTTGTTTGTGGTTTCTGTTTGCTTGGTTTTTGATACAGGCCATTCTCACAGAAGGGGGGTGCCATCTCATTGTGATTTTAATTTGCATTTTCCTGGTAACAAATGATGATGAGCTATATAGGAGCTTTTTTTTTTTTTTTAATGTGTCTGTTGCCCATCTGCAGTATCTTCTTTGTAGAAGTGTCTGCTCTTTTGCTAATTTTTTCATTGGATTGTTTTTGTTTTGTTGAGTTGTATGAGTGCTTTGTAGATCTTTGATATCAATTCCTTATCAGAGATAGGGCATCCAGTAAGGCATCTGTTTGAACACTGTCTTTCACTGTACAGAAGTTTGTTAATTTTATATAAGCCTAGTTGTTTATTTTCCTTTTATTTTCTTTGCTGCTGGAGATGATTCCAAAAAGATGTTTCTGAGATTTATGTCACAGAATGTTTTACAGCTTATGTTTTCGTCTATGTATGTTATAATTTCAGTTCTTACATCCAAGTCTTTAATCCATTTTGCATTGATTTTCATGTATCATGTAGAATGGTGATCAAGCACTCATTTGTATGTTGCAGTCCAATTTTCCCAGCACTTTTTATTAAAGAGGCTTTCATTGTTTCACTGTATATACTTTTTCATTTCTCATATATTAGTTGCTAATAAGTGTGTGGTTTTAGTTCTGGGCTCTCAATTTTACTCCATTCATCTGTCTGTTTTTGTTTTAGTACTGTGTTGTTTTAATTATTATGGCTTTATAATATAGTTTGAAGTCCAGAAATGTGATACCTCTATTTTTCCCCTATAGTCAGGAGAGCTTTGACTATTCTCAGATTTCTGTGGTTCCATATAAATTTCAGTAATCTTTGTTCTATTTCTTTGAAGAATGCCATTGGGATTTTTTATTAGGATTGCACTGAACCTATTAATTACTTTGGGTTGGATGGTCATTTTAACAATATTGATTCTTTGTCTTCCAATCCATGAACAGGGAATATCTTCCCTTTGCCATTTCTTTTTCTATTAACAGTGCTTTATAGTTTTCCTTGTAAAGGATCCTCACCTCCTTTGTTAGGTTAAATCCCAGATATTTAATTTTTTCTGGTGAGATTGTAAATGGGATAGCTTTCTTAATTTCTTCTTCCAGTTCATCATTTGTATGTAGGAAGACAACTGATTTTCGTGTGTTGATTTTGTATCCTATCCTTTTGTTGAACTGGTTTATTATTTAAGTTAGTTTTTCTAGGGAGTCTCTTTGTATATTAATTATCATATCATCTGCAAATCCCCTTTCCTTTTGCATCCAGGATATAGAGGTTAATGTATTTAGCACCACAAAATCAAAGTTCATAACTTTGTCATTATTGGTTGCAGTCTTCCCTGGACAAAGGAGCACTTGTATAATCAACATAAGCAACCTTTCCACAATTGAATACATTTATGTTCAAAGACAAATTATCATTATAGATATATAGATATATATAAATGTATATATAAATATATATGTATATATACATATATATAAATATATATGTGTGTGTGTGTATACACACACACACACATATATAGTCTGGACATGTGCCCAGTTACAAATTTGTAAGTAATGTTTTATCCTGTCTGGGCCACACTTTCCAGTGTATCCCTGCTTATCTAAAGTTCATCCTGATGAATATTGTAAATACACCACACTATGTATCATGTAAACACAAAACCTCCAAAAATTAAAATGCTCATTCTAAATACATATGTTTGGCTTGATATAATCTTCCCATGGTTTATATCACCAAAACTGGAATTTGGATTCTAATGAACTATGTTCCTGATTTTCACCCATTGCTTAATATTCCTAGCAATGAAGACAACCATAAATACCACTCAAATCTATTCTTCAGGCTTTATACAATTGACTTTTTAAAAATCAAGTTCATTTTCATGCTGAGAATTGATGTCCTTCTTGAAGCCTTTGTTTTTGAGATTTATCTCTCTCAGAAATGACCAGCAATTCCTTTCCATTCCTTAAATCCACTAGAATCAAAATTGACTTTATCTGTGGTGATTTAAACTCACTCTTCTGTGATCAGTCTTTTGTATTTATCGAGTATCCATGGGGCATGGTTTGAATTTGCCTTTCAGTTCTCTTCTTGATATCCAAAGAAATCTCCGTTTTGTTTTCCTCCAAGTAGATGTAAATATATTAGTGCAAAGAAGCTAAATTTGCAGTCAAAGCTCCTTTGGAGAACTCTTGCCACTGTGCTGGGAGGCAGTCACCTCTGCACAATAGGTTGGCAAGCAGGTTGCTAAAAAGTTAAAGGAAGAAAAGCAAGCAGGAAAATTGCAATTGAAAAATGTGTACTCAGCACCTATTAAGTCCCAGACATTATGGTAATTACTTAGAACATAAAGAAAGTATTTTTTTTTAATTTATTTATTTATTTGTGCATACAGAACTGGGGTACAGGCCAGAGGCTCAGGGGCGGTGAGAGGCCTCACCAGAGACAGAGTGGGGAGCAGAACAGGCAGATCCACGAAGTACACTGCTGAGGGAAGCAGCGGGCGGGTCAGGAGAGGTCTGCCGCGCCATGTGGTCACCTCCGGGGCAGGCGGGAATCGAACTCATGCGGAAGTGGCTTCAGATTCTCAGTGCTGTGCTTTAACCCGCTGCGCCACCAGGGAGGGCCCATAAAGAAGTATTTTTAAAATGTCATACAAAATAAAAAGGAAACTCTTGCTTAAGGTGCTTAATTTTTTTTTAAGATTTATTTATTTATTCATACAGAACCGGGGTACAGGC